TGTGCTCTGTTTGTCTGCCAGTAGGCAGAAGCCATTTTTATTTCCCTTTGGTGGCTGCAGATGGGTTATGTCTGCTATGTAGCAAGCAACTGAATGTCTACTGGCCTGCCAGCCAGGAGGGGGTGCTGAGCCTGCCCTGCTTTTCCCAGTGGTGTTTGAAAAGGAAATAAAGGAAGAGAGGGTGAAAGCAACTTTCAAGGAGGCCTCTGAGAAGGTGCTAACGTAAAAAATAAATCTGAAGCCGGGCTTGGTGGGGCACACCTTTAATCCCAGCACTCAGGTGGCAGAGGCAGGTAGATCTCTTCAAGGCCAGCCTAGTCTACATAGTTCCAGGACAGGCAGAGCCACATAGACACTATGAGAGAGAGAGAGAGAGAGAAAGAGAGAGAGAGAGAGAGAGAGAGAGAGAGAGAGAGAGAGAGAGAGAGAGAGAGAAGGCACTTCTGCAAGCTTGCTATTCAGAAAACTTACTTCAGGGCTGCTCCTGCAGGAACATCTCTCAACACTTTTTTCCTGCCTGCTGACAAGATTGCCCTGTAAGTTTCTTCCCAAGATGAGATGTGCAGGGAGCACCTTCTGTTTAACTTCAGCCACCCCTACCCTTAAGGAGGTGCAGAAGCCAGACCTTTACAGTCCAGTGTGTGTTGGGTGCCTGTAGTCCCAGCACTTAAAAGCTGAAGTGGGAAGATCCCATGAATCCAGGAGTTCCAGATCAGCCTTGGGTAACTTAGGAAGACCCCTTCTCAGCAGACACAAAAACTAAACAGTGGTTAACTGTGTCAGTGGGAAGGACCACCCAGATAGAAGGTCTAGAAAGCTCTGTAATGGAGCTGACCCTCAGGGAAAGAGGGGCATTGTATTGAAGGCCAGAATGACCTGGCCTAGACCTGAGGCACATGGAAAATGATGAGCCACCTCTTTGGTACCAAAAGTCTCTTCCCCATGATCAAGTTGAGAGCTGTTCTCTGATCTCTGGTTGCAGCCTCTGGCACCAGACTTGGTAGCTGCTATTGATCTGAGCTGCCTAATGGGAAGATACACACATAGCAGACTTGGCATCTAATTCTAATCGGCCACCTCTGTTTCCCTCTACATTACAGTCATTGCCTCTGCCTGGCCCAGATAACAGAAGCAAGCAAAAATTATGGTGAGCAGTCTGGAGAAATACATAAAAAGAACTGTCCCGAGTCATATCGATTTCCCCTGAAGCCACATTGCTCACTTTCTCCCACACGGGGTGTGTGTGTGTGTGTGTGTGTGTTCCACCTTGAGGCACTGTTCTCAATAATGTACATTATCTCATTTAGTCCTGTGTTAGGGACTAGAGTTGGAGATCAGTTAATAGAGCACTTACCTACCACGTAGGAAGCCCTAGGTTCAATCCCCAGTACTTCATAAACCACATGTAGTAGCATACACTGTAATCCCAACACTTGGGAGGTAGACCAGAAAGATCAAAAGTTTAAAAAAGAAAAGATTTAAAAGGAAAAATGCTGGACCAGTCTTTAATCCCAGCACTCAAGAAGCAAAGGCAGGTGCATCTCTTGAGTTTGAGGCCAACCTAGTCTACATAATGAGTTCCAGGCCATCTAGGGCTACAGAGACCCTGTCTCAACCACAATAACAAAGATATCAGACCTTGAATTGTGTTTAGATTGCTCCCCTCCTCCCTTCCCCATCTACTTCCTGAGTACCCCTGAATATCTCAGGTCAGTAATTTCCTCTGTGATATCTAGGCTTCCCTCAGGCTAAGAACCCTCAAAAAAAAAAAAAAGAAGAAGAAGAAAAGAAAAAAGAAAGGCAGGTCTGTGGTGATGCTGCATGCCTTTAATCCCAGCACTTGGGAGGCAGAAGTGGGTGGGTTTCTGTGAGTTTGAGGCCAGCCTGGTCTACAGAGCAAGTTCCAGGACAGCTAGGACTACAAAAGAGAAACCCTGTCTTGGAAATCCAAAAAAGAAAAAAAGGCTTCCAACCCCCAGAGCTCATTGAAAGAGTAGGCATGTTTAGCTCACTAATAGGTAATTAACTAATTCTGGGAGATGATTGCTCTTCCCTTCTGTTTTTTTTTGGGGGGGGAATGTCTCAGTTTTGAGCCCAAACACAGACCCATATCCAATAGACGTAACAGTGAAACACCCTGTTCACATGGAAGCAGGCTTCTTTATCTTTTTTTTTTTTTTTTAATGTGCATTGGTGTTTTGCCTGTGTGTATGTCTGCATTGGGTCCCCTGGAACTGGAGTTACAGACAGTTGTGAGCTGCCATGTGGATGCTGAGAATTGAACCCGAGTCCTCTGGAAGAGCAGTCAGTGCTCTTAACTGCTGAGCTATCTCTCCAGTCTGGCTTCTTTTTTGTTTGTTTGGTTTTTGTTGTTGTTGTTGTTTTTAAGATTTATTTATTATGTATACAGCTACAGCATTCTGTCTGTATGTACACCTGCATGCCAGAAGAGGCACCATATCTCATTACAGATGGTTGTGAACCACCATGTAGTTGCTGGGAGTTGAACTCAGGACCTCTGGAAGAGCATCCAGTGCTCTTAACTGCTGAGCCATCTCCCAGCCCTGTTTTATTTTTCAAGACAGGGTTTCTCTGTGTAGCCCTGGCTGTCCTGGAACTCGATCTGTAGACCAAGCTGACTGGAACTCAGAGATCTGCCTGCCTCTGCCTCCCAAATGCTGGGATTAAAAGCATGTGCCACCATGCCCGGCCAGGCATCTTTATCTTTTTCTTGCTAATTACATGGTGTCTGGCAATAGTTCTGACACTGCACTTCTTTCAGAAGCATCCATAGAAAGGCCCAGTGTAATTATACCTGCAATCCCCCTTTCCAAACGGCCAACCTTAACTACATGAGTCTGTGTGTCAAAAGCCCAAGCTAACTGTCTTGATGCATGCCTATAATCCCAATATTTAGGAGGCTGAGACAGAAGGAGCAGAGCTTGAGACACACTCAACTACATATAACCATCTTTAAAAAAAGAAAAAAGAAAAGAAAATGCTAGGACTTTGCCACAACTGGCAATTGATAGCAGCAGTCAGCTGGTAATGGAAGCAGAATTGAGGCTGAGGTGATTACACACCTATTTTTCTATGGACCTCTAGTTTGCAGAATCTGGTAAAAAAGAAAGATCTCAAGAAATGCCAGATCTGTCCTGGCATTATGATGTCACTCTGCTAATTCCAAGCAATTCCTGTCTTTATAGCCCCAAGATCAATGTAGGAGTCCTATAAAGCCCACTTTAGAGCTGTTTCTATTTCCAGAGTCTTGCTAGGGGTGCACTTTCTCTGCAGAGGCCTTCTTCATATGGGGGGGGGGGAGTACTGTGCACACAGGCTTACTGTCTTTTTTTAACATTTATCTTTATTTTTGTGTATGTGCCTGGGTACCTGTATGTTTATCATGTGTATGAAGTTGACCTCAGAGACCAGAAGGTTCTCTTAGCGCTGGAGTTACAGGCAGTTGTGAACTCTCCACTGTGGGTGCTGGGGAACTAAACCCAGATCCTCTGTAAAAGCCAAGAGGTGATCTTACCTGCTGAGCTCTCGCTCCAGCCCCCAGGCTTCCTTTCATGTCCAGGTGCCAGTCAGCCTCAGGGTCAGCCACAGTGTTGTAGACAGATGCACTAATCCCTCCTGAGGACCTCACCCCTCAACCCAGCTGCTGTTTCCCTAAGACTAAACCCTAGAGCTGATGTTAATTCACACAAGTTCTCAAAAAGTTTGGCTGTATGTAGCAAGACCAAAAACATATTTATGCTTATTGACCCAAACAACCCCATTTCTGGGAATCTGTCCTAAGGACATTCTGCAACTGATTGATGGAAAGCCTGTGTAGTAACATGAAATATTTATGATACAATGATTAAAAAGTCTGGAAGATTGAGCAAGAGGCTAGCCAAATGTGTTAGCGGTATCAGAATAATGGATTTATTGCAGTCTTTTTTTCCCCCAAACTTTTTTTTGTTTGTTTTCTGAGACAGGGCCTCTCTACGTAGCCCTGGCTGGCCCAGAACTCTCTATGTAGACCATGTTGGGACCTGGAACTCACAAGAGATCCACCTGCCTCTGCCTCCTAAGTGCTGGGATTAAAGGTATATGCCACCATGCTCAGCTTCTTTCCCAAACTTTCCGTATTAGTTATTGATTTTTACCCTCTATGCCATATCAGAGTTTATCAACCAGGAGCAAACAGAAACAGCACAATCAGATGGGAAAGCTAGACATTTAACAAACAAGCTCTCTTCTCATCTTCTGTCATTTACACCCGGTTTCTTCAACTCTTAGGGATGCACATTATTGAGCACCACTTACTTTCTAGCAGGGGAAACAGACTCTCAATTGCAGTACATAAGTTATGTCATCACAAATACAATAATAAGACAGGCCAGGCAATACAGGCCTGTATAATCCCTGAACTTGAGAGGTGGAGGCAATAGGACCAGGAGTTCAAGGTCAACCTGAGCTACCTGAGAACTTGTCTCAAAAAAGAAATTAAATAAAATTCTAAAAATACAGTACACAAATAAACTGAGTGTTAATGAGAACCATAAAGAAAAAAGCAATTATCCACCAAGAGCGAAAGGGAGTCAAGGAAGTCTTCCAAAAGTTTGGGCTGATTGATTCAAGTTCAGGTTTGAGGTTTATCTGCCAAGGCAAAGGGGCCCCAACATGTACAAAGGCAAGAATACGTGAACAACATGGTGGGTTGAGGAAATTACTGAGGGCAATTCGGGACGGGAAGGCAACTGAGTGGGTGTGAGGCACTTAGGAGAGAAAAGGCTTTCGTTGTAGTTGGATGGTGCCGGGTCCTGGGCTTTGGAGCAATCGTGAGATTTGCATTTTAGAGCAATGATCTGGCCTACATGGAGAGTGGAAAGGAGGTCTTTGGGGTTGCGCTGGGTCAGGAAAAAAGGGTGGCCCAAAGGGGACCAGCACACTCCCTTTCTCAACATCCTGACTGACACTTGGCCAGCGACTAGCGCCTCCAGGATCTCTCCCGCTTCTCCTCCCCTTGGGCCCCGCGGGCGGGCAGGCGAGCTAGGGAGGCGAGGCAAGGGGTGGCCCTGCCTGGGTGGTCTCCTGCCCCGCCCCCTGCGGCGCCGTCACCTAGCAACGGATCCGGCAGCCGGGCTGCGGGTAATTTGCAGCCCCCTCAGCCAATGGGAGGGCGTCACCCCGGCCCGCTCCTTTTTCTGAGACTCCTGCTGCTTTCCGAGACCGGCAGTCGCCACCTTGAGCTGTGAGGTGCTTCTCAGCCAGCCGGTTCCACCCACACGCGGAGCCCACTCTGGACCACGGCCCACAGATCCAGCGGGACTTAGCGCCGCGGGCCTGCACCACCCCGCACCGCCGCCCCAGGCTGCTCCTGTGCGTCTGCACCCGCGTCCCACCCGCGACCGCACGTCCGCGACCCCTAGGAATCCCTAGACGGCACAAGGGGCCGAGCTAGCCTATGGCCGCGCTCAGATAACGCAGGTTGGGGGCGTTCGCGCCCCCCCATCCTCACCAGCATGGTTCGGCCGCTGTCCCTTGGAGAGCTGCCTCCAAGCTACACACCTACAGCTCGGTCCGCAGCACCTCAGGTGAGTAAAAGAGAAGCTAGAAGAAGCGGGGTTGTGTCTGTCACTTGAACTTCTGCGGGGTGTGTGATGTTTACAAGTCAAGTATTACTGGATCTGTGAAGACAAGTTAGAGCTATCAAGTGATGTGTTAGCTTATTTCGTACCATCTACTGGGTTCGCCTCTGTGCCCAACTGACAGCTAGTGTGCGTGCATGGCTCATAACGCTCAAAAAATGGGCATTCTCGGGTGTGCTTGTAGAGAAGGCACAGAGGAAGAGAGTTAAATCTTCAGTTTGAAGCCTCTATCTATCATATCCGTAGCTGCTTCCTGCCCTGCATCCAGAAGTCAGGAAACCAGGACTTGACAGAGAGAGAGAAGGGAAGGATTCTGCATTGTGACACCTGGCTGACCCTTCTCTTTCCGTCTCAGATCCTAGCTGGAAGCCTGCAGGTCCCTCTCTGGCTTCGTGCTTACTTCCAAGGCCTACTCTTCTCCCTGGGGTGCAGGATCCAGAGACACTGTGGCAAAGTACTCTTCCTGGGACTGGTAGCCTTCGGGGCTCTGGCACTGGGTCTCCAAGTGGCCGTAATTGAGACAGACTTGGAGCAGCTTTGGGTAGAAGGTGAGTTACACTGACCATAGCTGCTTTGCTATGTGGCGCTCATGACAAAAGTCAGGATGAGGAGCTGGCCACTGAGCCCCAGCGGGCCTGCCTGGTCAAGGATCTGGAAGGGCATCTCCCGATCGGAGCCTGTGTGTCTGGGCATGTTGGAGAATGCCCACCTCTCCCCCGATCTCCCTCAGTGCCGTGAATGGAGCCCAGGGCATTATGCAGGCACATCTCTACCATCAAGCTGTACCCTCAGTCTCACACATACCTCTCTCACCCATAAATGGACACCTCTAGATGGTAGCACCCTATGAATAAGCTTACAGAATATTTATCTTTGACTATGTATGTGTGTT